GCGGCTGGTGTGACAAATTTCATGCCTGGGCCGCGGAAGACGGGCCAAAGAACCAGCAATATTCAAGAAAGAGAAGAGATTGTGCCGACTACAACAGCTACTTGGATGCTGGAGACGGCTACAAACTACGCTTTCATCACGTTCGACTTGCCATTAACCGCGCATCGCGGGGAGACGAACACGGCATTCCCCTGTCAGCGTTTACTCATGAGAAGAAAGACATGGCGCGCATCTCCAGGACACCCGTTCCTACCAAACTCACTGTTTCTGCCAGGATAGTCAACGGCCGATTCCTGTTGCACAGTTCTTATGCCATTGTCCTGCCCGCCTTCACGACGCGTAATCGCAACCTGTTAAAGTCGCTCTGGCCTCTTCTCCCACACATTGTCACAGGCCACCGCGATACACCAAACGGCCACACAGGTATCATGGCTGCCATCGACAACGTCATCCGCCGAGGTTGGAAGTACCAGTTCACACAGAACTGCTCCACTTGTGCGACCGATTGGAGCGTGACCAGCCAAGACTTCTCGCATGCTACAGGCGGCCAGGTCAGGTTGGTGGTGCAGAGTTGGCGGGATCTGGGGACGGGAAGGACGCCGTTCGAGACGGGGTGGAGAGCGCATGGCGTAGGAAGCTGTGCTGAGGGTAGCGGGGCGAACACTTGTCTCGTGAGACTTACCAGCCGACCTGCGGGAAGTGTCAGACGTGCATTTGAAGCTGCAGATGTGGACGATGGGTCGAAAGAAGCTACTCACCCTGGGGTTGTGGCTGCTAGCGGCGCACCCAAGTCGCGCATCTATCGGTCCTTCATGAGGAGGAATACCTCAGAGGAAGGGCCCGGTGAGATCAGACGGTCCAGTGCAAGGCCGAGGTATTGGCGGACGAGAGAAGAGAACGAAGCAGTGGCTCGGAAGTACGCTGAAGACACACGAGATGTTGCGAGAGATGTTGCTGAAGAGTTGATTCGGTTAGATGCTCGTCATGGGCATGGACTTTTCTAGACGTTCTTCTGGTTTTCCAAGCTTATTTAGCATTCTTTGAGTACCTGCATCCACTTTTCATTGTAGGAGCCTACTGGGTACACAGCGTAGGTTTAGATATAGACATTTCGGAGTTGGGCAATATACCACATACCAGGCGATATGCCTACACCATGAAGGAATCTTGGCTAGAAGAAATGCTGAACGGAAAGAGGTTCGTAAAGACGGAGACTATTCCAAAGTGATTACCTAGCACCAGGTACCTAGGCTTCGATGTCTCGACCTCGGGGTGCGGGGGATACGCTAGCCTTCTTGAGGTCTAGGCCTTTGGACCCTTCCAAGTTGGAGGTTCCTGCCGACTTGGGGGGTTGTCCAACCTCCAAACACCATCGCAACCTATCTCCCTACTTACTAGATAGATGCTTCTCACTTGCGATACATGTCGGAATACGTTACGTAGGTGACAACATACGAATTGCCCAAGTCTTTGAACTTCCTAAAGGCTCTGAAGTGTACCCAGGTATGTGACCAATCTATGCTTCCGGAGCTACGTATCTCACTTTCGGTTTCAAGCAGAGTGATGCAGACTCGGAACCAGCAAAGCATGTCCACTGCACTGCGCGTTTGGTACCCCTGGGACGTGTTGTGAGGTCACGCTGTCACGATGATTGCGGCTCAATGTGTTATACCCGGTCGCAGTATATGACAGCGCACCTGATTCGCTAAGCCCTGGAATACTGCCGCCCACCTGGGTCACAACCCTCAAGGACCTGTGATCGTCAAATACTGGTGCGGAGTTCATATCGAGTGGCCGGAACGTATATTGCACGTTGCTGGAAGATTAGGCTGAACCTCGGACTTCATGCACAACAAACCAACTTGGAATTGCATCTGCATCTTTTGCTGTGCAACGCTACTTGGAGACTTGCCATAACCCGCAACCCAAAAGACGCGTTGATGGTGTTCTGTCACAAGCTTTGCTTGTCAATGGCCTAGCAGGCGGACAAATTCATGGCGAACCTTGGAATGTTCCGGTCTTGGCGAGCGGGCACCCCTGGACCTCAATCTATTCTGCACTAGCAGTTCGACCGAGAAATCCGGTCGATGCCACTCTGCTAAGACCCAGGGCAACTTGATTAAGCTCTGAAATCCATAGCCAATTGTGGATGAGGGTCTCGTCCCGTCTGCTCCGGAAGCTTCGTTTCGCTTACAGGGTTCGGCGCTTCAACTCGGTACCTGCATTCCACCACGAAAGGACACCTGAGGAAACTGCCTCAATGCTTCTCATGCATTTCACCACGGGGAAACATACTGGCTGAACAGTCTCTGTCGATACCATTCGTACACCGGCATGTCAAGCAGCGCCAGTCATGGTTGTTTACTACAACAATGAGACTCGAGCAACAGAAGGAGGGGCTGAATGCAACTTACCTGACTGTATCCTTATGCCGCTTCTAGCGAAGTACGTATCTCAGTCTTCTTTCTTCTTATTGGATTTCACGCCCAAACCATTACCCGGGAAAAGATCTGAGCCTCATGACCTCTGCTACAGATTAAGTGTGCCCCCCAGTCCGGAAAATCTTTCTAGAAAAGTCTCTCGTATATGCCCATGGATGATGGAAAAAAGCAATCTATTCCTACCGGGTTTTGAGCTCACCGGGTGGAATTGCACAAAACAACGCGATGTGGTCCTGAGCTGTACCCAAGGTACAACACACATTGAAGTATACATCGTCGCATATCTTTTTACTGTGAAAGCCAGCATGATGTATTCTCCGGGGTGGTGTGTGCACATGCGGTCACTCGTGACCCAGCCACAATACTGTGTGCAAATATCAAGAACACAGCTACGAGTGCTGATTCACAGCTTTGCCTTCTCACATACGAGGCTGACCCATCACTGTCGAATGAGACGGAAGGCTAAGACTTGGCCACCAGTGAAGCCGACGGTTGATAGTACGTCTCCATATGCTTCTCCATTCGTCACTCCCTACACTATCTCTTTAAGGCAAAGATCCCGGGCGTGGTGGCGCACAGATCTCCGCAATACCCCAGACTACCCCACGATGCGGCGCAACAGGGCATGCCTCATCTATAGTTCATTACTCTGGCACTCCTAGCGTTCTTTTGCGCTCCCGATGTTCCGTTCCTCTCACAACATTGGTGAGAACAGCATGGAGGGACGTCAAGGGTGTAGATCTCCTGCACCTTGCAATAATCAACAGTCATATGGGTACTTCTGCAGAGTACTTTGATTAGTAGCCATGAGCTCAAGAATGTTGTATAAGAAGGTCAGCCCATCGCTCCAATACTTTCGACATCCAACAACATATCTTCACTCAAGAAGCCAAAATGTACAGGACACTCGCCCTCACCTCGCTCTCGCTCTTCGGAGTCGCCCGCGCTCAGCAGGCTGGCACATCGACAGCAGAGACACACCCCAAGTTGACATGGCAGACTTGCACTGGTACCGGTGGAAACAGCTGCACCACCAAGCAGGGTTCCATTACGCTCGATGCCAACTGGCGCTGGTCTCATGTCACCAGTGGATACACCAACTGCTACGACGGCAACTCTTGGAACACGACCGCTTGCCCTGACGGCAGCACTTGCACCAAGAACTGCGCTATCGACGGTGCTGACTACTCTGGTACGTTAACATGTCCACGACACAACATGTGAAGCCCTTAGCTAACGATCTTAGGCACCTACGGTATCAAGACCAGCAGCAACTCTTTGAGCCTCCAGTTCGTCACCAAGGGTTCTTACGCTGCAAACATTGGTTCTCGCACCTACCTCATGGAGAGCGACACCAAGTACCAGATGTTCAACCTCATCGGCAAGGAGTTCACCTTCGATGTCGATGTCTCCAAGCTACCCTGCGGTCTGAACGGTGCTCTCTACTTCGTCGAGATGGCCGCCGACGGTGGCATCAACAAGGGCAACAACAAGGCCGGTGCCAAGTACGGAACCGGATACTGCGACTCGCAGTGCCCCCATGACATCAAGTTCATCAACGGTGTAGCCAACGTTGAGGGCTGGAACCCGTCCGACGCCGACCCCAACGCCGGCTCCGGCAAGATCGGTGCCTGCTGCCCCGAGATGGACATCTGGGAGGCCAACTCCATCTCCACTGCCTACACTCCCCATCCCTGCAAGGGCACTGGTCTCCAGGAGTGCACTGACGAAGTCAGCTGCGGTGACGGCGACAACCGCTACGGCGGACTCTGCGACAAGGACGGCTGTGACTTCAACAGCTACCGCATGGGTGTCAAGGACTTCTACGGCCCCGGCATGACTCTCGACACCACCAAGAAGATGACCGTCGTCACCCAGTTCATCGGCTCCGGCTCCAGCCTCTCTGATATCAAGCGCTTCTACATCCAGGGCGGAAAGGTCTTCAAGAACTCCGACTCCGCTATCGAGGGCGTCTCCGGTAACTCCATCACCGAGTCCTTCTGTGAAGCGCAGAAGACCACTTTCGGTGACACAAACTCCTTCAAGACCCTCGGTGGCCTCAACGGAATGGGTGCTTCGCTTGCTCGCGGACACGTCCTCGTCATGTCCCTCTGGGATGACCATGCGGTCAACATGCTCTGGCTCGACTCTACCTACCCTACCGATGCTAGCCCTGACAAGCTTGGTGCCGCCCGTGGTACCTGCGCTACTGACTCTGGCAAGCCTGAGGATGTTGAGGCTAACTCGCCTGGCGCTACTGTCGTCTTCTCGAACATCAAGTTTGGACCTATTGGCTCTACCTTCGCCCAGCCCGCATAAGCGCTCGATGGGGTTGTTGGATAAGGTGCTGGAGAGGGATTGGGGCTCGGTACTGTAAGAGCTCGTGGACTCCTTCCGGCTGTCCTCTCGTTTGGCTTCGCAATTGTATATACTTGTGGTGGATCTAGAAGTGTGCATATAGAGACAAATTGACTGCATTCGTTATGATAGACGCATCTACTGTAAGGTTCATGTGTGCCTTTTCATGACTGCCTAATGCTCGTCCGCCAAAGCCTTCACTCACTTTTTGTAGCTCTCAAGACTCTTGTTGCAATCCTTGATCCTGATATGTAAGCCTTTGATCTCGAAAGCGCGTAGAGTCGCCGCACGCCGAAGCTTCGCGTTCTCTATTCTCAGCCTGGCAACCTCGTCATTGACTGGGACGACATCAAACTGCAAGTCTTCGATGCCTTCTCTCAGACTCTCTTTCTCTCGTCGCAGTATCTGCATCTCCTCGTCCTTGGATGTGATTGTAGCAGCATGCTCGGCGTTCTGGTGTTCTGAAGCCTGTCGAAGTTGAGTAATAGCTTGTGCATGTGTATGATCGCGCCCCGCGAGCTCACTTCGGAGGTGGATGGTATCGTGTTGTAGCTGCTTGTAACCATGAATGAAGGCAGCTAGGTCGTCGATGTTTTTGCATTGATGGTTCAGTATACTAAGATTAAACAAGTATAGAGACGCGGCACTTACGGGTACGACACCGTTGGGCGCACGTTCGTCGAGATAAGCAGGTATTGCCTCTTCGCGTTTAAGTGTCATGGCGTTGATCACCGATCGAATCTCTCAGCAGTTTTGTTTAGCGACAAGAAGTGAGAAGTGGGGTAGGAGAACTGCGTCTTACCTGAAGCGGTTGTAATGGCAAGTGACGGAGCCAATGTAAATGATGAGAAAACAGGAGCAAACAATAGCGGTGAAGGCGCGAGCCAATTTAAAGCTTCAAGTAATTGTAACAGCATGTTCCACTCAACGAGATATAGTCCAGTAGAGATGCTAAATATGACATTGGAAGCCACAAGCGGACATTTGGTAACTGTGAGATCTAGAGTTACCGCATAGCCAGCTTCCCCGTCAATAGATGAAAGCCACCATGGACACTTTCTCCATATCACGCCCCTCTCTCCATTCCTCCCGCTCACGGCTCACTATCTCGTCATGAGACATATCGTATCGCTGCTCATACACCTCGTACATGAATGGGAAATCGTTTTCCTTTACAATTCTGATGTCTCCTCTAGTATTGGTCACAGCATGCCTTTTCTGCCTCAACACCCTGCGTACACGGGCATTCGTTGAAGGGTTTTCGTCGATGTAGTGCCGCTCGTCCTTTTCGAATCTTGGGTGAAGCATAGGTAGCGTAACGGTAACTTCAAGGTCGCAAAGACCTTTTAGCTGCGCGAGGAGAGGATCGAGGGTTAAACGCTCGTTGACCACGGCCCAGTATTGGGTTTCATTATGGTCCAACCACAAGTCCAGTTTCTTGAGAGCTTTGAACCGACCGAGCGTAGAGCCCAATCGCTGCCAAAGGCTTGCTTGTTGAGCCGCCGATTCTGTGTCTGAGGATCCAGGATCGTTGCCTAAGAGTCGCTCCACTGACCGGAAGAAAGCCAATGGAAGCTTGAGCGTGATACTGAGACGAATGACATTCGAAACCGGGAGCTCCGTAAATGCAGAAGAGGATGGCATGACCGCTACCGAGGCTCTTGCCCAGTTGTCGATGAATTCCAGATCGGACACATGGACAGTAGAAGTGCGAGCAACGAGATCGTACACATCGTAGCGACTAGTAATGTGAGCGCTTGGCACCAATGTCTTCTTATCACTTACACGCTCCTGCAGACATTCAGAAGACTGAGATCTTCTGTGTCTTCAGAAAACGACGAGTGCTCCTCGCACGCCCAGTGGAAACCCCAGGTCGACTGCAAGCGACGGGCGCACCTGGCCGTGGTAACCTGGTCTTCGATGTGGTAACTATATGGATGGCTGCAATAACGGCTCCAGTGCTGAATGCACGCGGATACAAACAGATTGCCATCTCGCAGGCCTACGTGGACCTCGTTAGGCAGCAGGTACGAGTAAATCTTATGCCGGAGTTCTGTTGGCAGGCGTAACAGTGCGCTTCGAGACTGCGTCATCTTGGATAGGAACTGAAGAGCGAGTCTTGGTGGATTGTAGGACTGAAGTGATGGAGAGGGCTGGCATGTGTGAGGATTATAACGCGCCCACAGGCCTTCGGTGAGCTGCGGAACCGTAACAGCTAACCCCGAAGAAGCTAGTGCTGATAGAGGGAAAGAGTGCTTCACTTGATCCTTGAGCTGCGTATACCCTGCTCTAGCGTCCTCTTTCAAGTTAGATACGGACCAATCAAGCACTCGATTCAGTGCATTCCCGCCACGAAGGCTGACATTATGGCATTGCAAACCTGGAAACTGTAGACCCAAGAACAGATACGATACCAGGATGAAACTTGAATGAGTAATTGAAGGACACCAGCCTCACGTGCTGGCAAAAGTGGGAAGAACTGATGTATGCGGACCTAAGCAGCCTCCAAGATCTAGCGAATGATCAGCTTCTCATGTATCCTTACCTACCCACACGTATACCAAGGTTGCGCAAGATCGTCAGCATCACACCACATACCCATGAACATACCATTCACAAACATCCATAACAAAAACATACAATTGCCTACCCTCGGCTACTCAGCCATCATCGCATAGTCTATCGAGCGTCTAGCCCATCCAGAACCAAGCTCACAAAAGAAAAAGGTGCCGCATCCTCATCCCCACTAGCATATATACAGTTTCCGTGGTGTTGCTGTAAGACTTCCGCCCCATGTCTAGGGTCTTGTTGACTTGCTGAAGGTGTTGTTTACTCCTTCTTGACGGTGTCTGGGTCTACGAGGATACCCTCGGCTTCGAGTCTTCGTCGCGCCTCTTCTAGGGCCCAGGTTTGGATGCTGGTAGGCTGTTAGCTTCTGTGCTTTCAATCCGTCGCCGCTGTGCTCCTCCCGCCGCTCCTTCAAGACTCAATCCCATTGTCCTATTGTGACTCCCCCGCCTGATCCACCTCCTCACCCATTCCGCACCATCCCCGTCCATCCCCATCCAACACGAAATATGCACATACCTGGTATCCGGCTTGAAAGCGTAAGCAACAACGCCAAACGCACACGCTCCTCCAAAACCCCAGTACATGGCGTTCTCCCACCCCTCCTTCTCATACTGCTCGCCGGGCTTGACGCCAAAGAGCCATCCGGATGGGGGATCGTAGCTGGGTCCGTGACCTGAGCGCTTCGTTTGTGACTGTGAGAAGGCTCGGCGGGGAGCTGCTGTGCGAGCCGAAGCGGTGAGGGCGGTGCGCGAGGCGCTGGTCGCGGCGCGGACGGAGTTCATCGTGGTCTGCAGGCGAGCGGATCGAGGGCTGAGGTAGACGTAGAGGGATTTGGTTCGGTCCCGGCGTAGGGGCAGCGGGTTGTGATGGGGGCTGATAGGTGCTGGTTGTTTTGATGTCAAGGTGAGGTTCCGCGTTCCCTGCGATTGCTTGGCGTGGCGGCGGCTAGTGGCGCCGGAGCGAAGGAGCAATGAGATGTCCAACTGCTCCAGGGCTCACAGGAATTGTTGTCAAAAATCAAATTGCAGCACAAAGAACAAGTATCGTCTGGCGAGTGTATAGTTACTTTAATGTAGAAGTGTAACATTTCTATCACAATGATGACTATGTAGTGTACCATCAGTACCTAGGTAGCTGATTTGTGGTATAAGAGCCCGTAACGCCAATGCTATGCAGATAAACCGTTTGAACGCAGAATAATCAAGAAGCATGCCTAGGCATAAGCAGGTGTGCGCTTCTCCTCCTTGTGATCTTGCATCTCATCATCTGGCTGATGAAAAGACATCCTCGCCATGCTCTGAGACGCCTCATCGACCTGTTTCTCCGTTCTACCCGCGTCAACAACCTCCTTCTGCCGTTGCTCCGCGTCTGCAGCTTCCTTCTCCTTGCGCTTCTTCTCCACTGCCTCAAGCTCTGCTAGCCTTGCAGCGGTCCTCTCGGCCTCTTCCTTCTCGCGCTTCTCGCGATCCGCCTTCTCAAGTGCTTCAAACTCGTCGTCAATCTCGCCCTCATCAAGAGGCTGGTCGGTCTCATTGATGATGTTCGTGATTTCTTCCGTGGTCGCCATTTGTTCGTTGACGGCATCGACGACACCCTGAACGCCTTCTGCACCGCCAACTTTCTCATTGAGACCTTTGAGGGCCGCTGCGCCAGCCCGCATGGCCTCAACAATTTCGACTTGATCAGCGGCTTGTTGTAGATCAGTGTAGACTTGCTCGAGCTGGAGGGCGACATCGGAACGTTGAGCGAGAGCGTTTTCGGCAAGCTTCTTGGAGCGCAGTGCAGCTTTGGCGCGGACCATCTGCTTTGCAACCACAGCTTCCCGTGCAGCTGCATCGGCCAAAGCAATCTTCTCCATCAATGGGGGTATCTGCGCATTGATATTCGCTAGTGTGTCGCGAAGATTGGCAATAGCGACATCATCTTCTGTGACAGGCAGGGGGGCAGCCTCATGTTCTGGCTTGAACTTGATTGTCTGATCGTTGTGAGAAATTGCTTGCTTGTCTCGGGCGAGGAAGACGAGGAGAATGTCGAGGTCGTTCGTCGTGAGTGGTGCAGTCGGATTTAGTATAGTCGCGAAACGCTTCAAGAAGTCTGTCTTCGATAGTACCCGATCAGCCGTAGATACGTGCTCCTTCATCTTCTTGAGTATCTCGTCCGCTGCAACTTCGACATTCTTGACGACGACGAAGTTCCCCACCTCCATCTTGGCCGGTGCCCGTACCTGCCCCAGTACCCCAACCTGCCGCAAGCTCCATTGAAGCACCTGCCATGGCGAGGGTATCCACGATGTCTTGTATATGCTCTCTTTTGACGACATGAAGTCCTTCAAAGGTACCATCTCCTTCTTTTGTACTGCTTCATGGAAGACGGCCGGTAGACAGGTGGGCTTGCCATATTGCGGGTGTTGTAGGGCTCGCGCGAGCTCGTCGGCAGCTCGTATGTTCAGGAGATCGTGGGTGGTGCCCTGCCTCGGGACGACGCCCGCTCGTGAGGCGTCGATGAGGGCCTTTGTCCACGCGGCGATGTTGGCATAGTAGCCTTCGGGGTTTATCTCGAGCTGTTGCCGAAAGTCTGCATAAAGCGATGCAAGGCGATGCTGGCTGTGCTAGTCAGCAATGCAGGGTGACGCCGATATATGGGTGGTCTTACTTCTTGAAAGCATCTTCATGTTGCAGGACGAATTCTAGCAGTTCACTCATGTCGCGCTCTGGCTCGGGTACCCACTGCGCCCTGTTGTGCTGGGAACGGAAGAGCGAGCGCTTCCGCTTATGACGACTAAGCGTGGGGTCGCTGCTAAAGATGGAGACGTGGGGGCCGCCGCTGGGGACCAGGTCGCGCGAGGGCTTGCGTTTAAGCATGTGCGCAGTCAAAAACAGCCAAGGGAGCAATACGATGACATTAGACGGTATCGATTAGGGTCTAGTGCAGGGCCAGATTCTATACAATAGTCGACTATGAGAATACAGGTCACCCGACTATAGGATTTGCCGAGGTAGACTATAGCTAAGATACTAGGCCGCTTTATACTAGCGCGCACACACAGAATTACATTTAAATTATAATTTAAAACTAAACTCTCTTACCTCTTACCTACCTACCTACCTACTACCTACTAACTAACTAACTACTATAGCACTACGCAGCTTTATAAGTAGAACTATTAAAAAGCTATTTTAATATATTTTAAAAGCTTTCTAATAATATACAGAATAATTATAAGTAATACTTAGCCTCTACTACTTTATCTTTAGATTACTCTAGCTATAAATTTAATAACTAGAACTAGCCTATAGTTAACTTTAGTAAAGTTATCTACTACTATAAAAAGTTTAGCGCGCTATATAGAGTAAGTTATATTAAAATACTTTTATATTACTTTCTAAACGCTTTCTAATAATATATAGAAGAGAATAAAGTTCTACAATTCTATCTATACTTACCTTCTTAATATCTATAAGTTCTATAAAGTAGCACCTTTAGAAAATAAAAAGAGTAAGCTAAACTAGAGAGTTATTACTTTTACTAAGCGTAAGTATTAAAATACTATTATAATACTCTTAGAAAGCTTTCTAATAATATATAGAATAGTATAATAAGCTTTAGATTAAGTATAACTATATTCTTACTAAGCGTTAGGCTGCTGCTAAAGCTACTACTCTAGCTCGCTAATAAGCTTTTGCAATAGTTAAGAAGTTAAAGCTAATTCTAAGATTAACTAGTAGTTATAGAGAAGAGGTAAGTAGATTAAAACACTATCTAAATACTATTTAAAAGCTTTCTAACTATACTTTATAGTTTAACCTTAAGTAAATAATAAGTATTATACTTACTACTAGTTATATTGTACCTTACTCTATCTATATAAAGAAGTATAGAACTAATAGTAAGAGTAAGAATACTAAAATACGCTTTAAATACTTTACTAACACTTTTTAGTCTACTACTTTAAGTATAAAAGAGATAGGTTTAGTAATAGAATTAATAGTAGCTATTACTATAAGAACGTTAGCTACTAGAAGTTACCTTAAATATATAGTTTCTAGTAAGTCTAATAGTATTTTATAAAATAGAAATATCTACTTCTTATAAAAAATCTCTCTAAGCTTTAAAATTTAAAATAACGTATATTTTTATAGTTTTCTTAAAGTAAATATACTAGAAAGCGTTAGAAGAGTATTTAAAAAGCATTTTAGTATACTTACTAGTTAATTTCTTTTTCTTGCACTAACTATATACTTTAGTAACACTTTACTCTAAAAGTATCTTTCTATAGATATTATAGTTTAGCTAGATAAGTAAGAAATATAGCCTTTAACATAATAAAGAGGCTTAGCTTACTACTCTCTTTTAAACTCTATAATTACTTAATTTATATCTTAGTAGAGATACTACTAGTATAACTTCTACTCTTTTGCGCTTACTACTTCTTAAAGAAAGTAGCTTTAAGAGTTTAAGCTTCTTAGAAGGCTTTTAGGTTAGTAGTAGAGGTATTAGAGTAAGTAGGTAGAGAGAGTATATTAGAAGAGTAATTAGAATACTTTTCTATAGTATATTCTTCTTAGAGGTCTCTTCTAGCTAGCTACTAG